AGGCCTGCTGTCACTCTGGGAAGGGTAAAGAAACACCCACCGCACAGAGGGGAGTTCTGGATGGCATCACATGTGCTCTGCCCAGGGCCACAGCTCTGCCACTTAGAAACACAAATTATAGAGCCATGGGTGCAGGGGGAGGGTGCAGAGTACAGCCCCACCTGCCCGCTGCCTTAGGGAACACACAGAAGGTGGTTTGAGAATTCCTTCCCTGGGGAGATGTAAACAACATCTGCCTCCTCCTCATAAAGTCCCAACAATAAACCAAAGTATGATTCCATCAAGGCTCAATCTCGGGGAACCAATGTGTTTACAGAGTATGGGTGAGGGGTTGCCTACAGGAGTGTGTGTGACCCCTAAATTCTTCAGCCAACATACATGATGGCTTCCCCACAGCCACATAGGTGGAGTTCACTCACTTAACCTTCCCCAGCTGAAACACTCTAGCATGTCCTGAGACAGGAGGCCTCGAGCAATTAGGGCAGAACTGTGTTCTAATGGCTGAGAGGGGTGGCTCCATCTCAGGTGAGGTCTACCAGCCCTCCCCATCCCCTTCTCTGAGGGAGCACCAGGCCTGACCACGATGGCCTCTCACAAACAGGCATGGCTGATCTGATGAAGATGGCGCTTTTTGTTCACAGGACCTTGTTCTACAACAGAAGGTGATGCACCTTTGGTTGGCTGGGGTGTGCAGGGGGCACTGGACGGAGGTCAGCCCTTCCATGCTGGAGTGTCACTCCAAGATGCATAGGACCAGGTCAGACAGAAGGAGGAATTACAGAAGATGTAAGCACAGGACCACCCTCACCATGATCACCCAGGCATGGGGTGCCATATTGCAGGGCAGTGTAGAAGGGAACCGCTAGTGGTTTCCTGAGGACTTCCAGAGCTGGAGTCATGGTAACAAACAGAGGAGACACAGTAAGGTTTCCAAACTCTCCATGGTAACGAGGTGCTGGTGGTCCCGGGAGGTCCCAAGAGGCAGATGAGCAGGCTGCCAAGTTTGGGGCCCTTTCTCTGAGTTTCCTGGTGGGATAGGAACATACTTTCTCCCCCAGGTTTGGACCCAGGTAGAAAGCATGGCTTGCTCCTCATGAGCCACGGGCTCAGGCTTCCTACAGCCCAGGCTGTCAGAAGAGAAGCCCTATGTGTACTTGGGGCAGTGGGTGGGGATTGGGGTGGGTAGAGGAGCAGGGGGCAAAGCAGGCTCTCTGTAAGCTGGAACTGAAAGACCACACTGCCTGCTGATAACCAGGCTGCTGATTTGTGTCAGCACCCCTGTCCCAAGGAGAAGCTGGCCTTCCCTCTGGTGGAGTGGGGGTGCTCCAGACCAAAGGCATGTAGCAGAGGCTCAGGGAGTATCAGATGGAGGCTCTCACTCAGTAAAGGGGGAGAGAGGATCAGAGGTCCATGCTTAATGCAGACATGAACATAGAGGCACAAGAACACAGTACATGTAACATGCACACACATGCATGCACTGACACACCTCACACATGCCTCATGTATGTGCATACAAATGCACACATGCTCGGCACACATGCATACCTCACATATCCATGCACATGCATGCATCACACATATTCATACTTGTACACACTTCACACACATCGCATGCATACACATGTATGCATACCACACATGCACACATATTTGACACATACATGAACATATAAGTAAACACATGCATGTACCACACAAGAACATAAACAGTATATTAACATGCACACATCTCACACACATGCATGCACCTCACACGCACATGCCTTGCACATATGCACACACCTCATACATGCACACATATGCATGCTCCTCACACATGCACATACATGTACCTTCCTCATGCATGCACCATATACACATACTGCACATATCTTACATGTACACACACACAACCACATGCACACACATATGCACTCACTCATGCATCTCACATATGCACAAGCCTCTTATGTATGCATATGTGTATGCTTATGTACACTACTCATGCATGCACAAAGTCTTACATACATTCACACATCTCACACAAGCAATGCTTCACACATGTGCACATACCTGCATGCACACCATAATGCACACATACCTGACACATATGCACACACATGCATTCACCTCACACATATGCATGCACCACACATGCACATACAATATGAACATGTACATGCATGTATGAACCTCTCATGCAGGTGCACACAAGCAAGCACCTTACACACAGGCACACACACATCACACGCATGTATAAAAATGGATGCACTGCACACATGCACACATACCTGACATGCATGTCAATGCATACACATGCACATACACCTCACACATGTACACAGCATGCACATGCCTCACACATACATCTCACACATGCATGAACACAGTATATACACATGCACATACCTCACACACATGAATGCAACTCACACATGCACACACGTCACATTCAGACACATATATGCATGCACCACACATGCACACACATGCAAGCAACTTGTGTGCACACATGTATATGCTCCACACATATGCATACACTTCACACATGTATGCACACAGTACATTAGCACGTACACATGCACATACCCCGCACACCTGCACACATGTGTACATGGACCACACATTTATATATACACACATATGTACACAGCACTCTGTCACCCACACAACTCACACATCCATGATCATTCCCTAATTATCTTGTCCTAGTTTGTCTTTCCGTTGCTGTGACAAAACACTCTGACCACTACCAACTTG